CTCTCTCTAAAATACTCCCTACTAATATGAAAATATGAAAGTTTTCTCTCTACCCTCTAACTCTTTCCAAGAAAAATGAATTTACAAGACATAAATAACTTCCCCCTTCATTAATCTCGCAGGCAACTCACGACAAATTCACAACGCACGTCACAACGTGCGTTGTCCTATTAAGTTCTCGATCTATGAATCTTGCGACGTCCATTGTGCCGTTCGTGGAACTCTCTGTTTTTCCACAACGTACGTCACAACGTGCGTTGTGCCTCTTCGTAGAACTTCCTGTTTTTCCACAACAAATGCCACAACATGAGTTGTGCCTCCTGTCTTGGCCTCGGTTTCTCTCATTTTCCCTCTTTGTTCCTGCCTATGCCACTTTGCCTTGTTTTTAGCCAAATTATCCTACAAAAACATAAAATACAAAGTGTGGTAACATTTTATAACATAAGGCACAATCATAGCTTAAATGGCCTAAACATGGTACACAAAGGATCATAATTAGCTCAAAATACACCTAAATGAGACCCTAAAACTAGGTGTCTTTGACACTTATCAATAAGCTCGTTAGCCTTTATGGACTTCATCTCAAATGTTGGGTCAAGTGGTTGGCATTCTTGTTGAAACTCTTGGTACGGAGACTCTTGAACATGCCCTTGATATCGGTAATTGGGATCCAAGATGAAACAATTTTCCGCCTCATGAGATCCTCCACATAAGATACATCAACGGTTGTGGAGTCGATGGTGTGCATCCTTGATAAGTGGCTCGACTCATGTTGGCACAAAATCCTTGAGTAGGTTGTTGAGGAACATGGTTGGTGGGGTTGAACATATAACAATTTTCCACAAAGTGATTCCCACCACAAAATGAGCACCATTGGGGTTGTGATATGAATGCTTGAGATGAGCTTTGTTGAACATATTCTTGACTTGAGTTGGCAAAATTTGGGAAAGGTACTTGTGGTTCCATTCCTCCATAGACTTGGTTCATATTCCAACTCATCTCATAATCATGGGAAGAAGAGTAGAATGGTGGCATAGCTCCTTGAAATTCATATCCATCAATAAACTAAAGAAAATTGTTAATAAAAATAAAAACAAATTAAAAAAAAAAACCGATGGATTAGACTCCTAGAATAAAAATTTCACTAATGTTAATACTAAACGCCACTTTCCCGGCAACGGCGCCAATTTGATTGCAGTATATTTTCAAACGAATAATACCCGGAGTATCGGATAATCGATGCACAAGAAAGTGTGGTATTAAGCACTAGCTACTAAATTATTCACGAGAAGCTAATCCTAATGATTATGATGGAAGGATGAAAATAAATATATAAAGCAAAGTAATGATTCAGGGATTTGAAAACAATAGAGAGAGAATGAGATTCCTGGGATTCAAGTGTTTAATCCCCCGGTGCCTAACTTAATGCAATATTAAATCTGGGTTTAAACTAGTGTGAGAATGCAAAGATGGTATAGAGTTACTCTCGTAATCTCTAACCCTAGTGAATATCCACTCCCGTGATATAAACACCCAATAAGAACAAGAACAAGCATTCATAATTAATTCCTAACTAGTATCATCTCCCGATGTGCAATAATCAAGAATTAAACTCCGTAAAAAAAAATGCCCTCTCCCAAGGTGCAAAAGTTAAGTGCAATTGTGTGTGCCCTAAATTATGCCCAACTCCCATTGTGACACAAAGAAAGCTATGAAACAAATAATTACGGCTATTAACTACGAGCAACAACAATATAAAACACAATTGTCAACACAAGTTTAAAATCCAAATAAAAATATATTAAAGAATCTGAGAGCGCAGGCACATAGGTTCATAATCACTTTTTACCCAAGAATCTCTAATGGAATTTAGTCAAACATGGCTAAATTGAACATAGCAAAGTATAATAAAGAAATTACAAATTATCAAAAGAATACAAAATTGAACCAGGCAATTTACTCAAATCTCCCTAGCTTTCTTCTTGCTTCCTAAGACAACTTGTGGCTCTTGATCTCTCTCGTTCTCGTCTCCAAAGATCTCCCCGAATGAATATTAGGGTTGAGGAAGGTGAAATATATAGCTGATGCAAAGCAGGGGCGAAATTAGAATTTTCTTTCTATTTATTATGGAGACTACCGCCCTTTTTATTTCGTTTGTGATTATCGCCCTTTTGATTTTTTTCTTTAATTAGCTCCTTTCCCCTTTTATTTGTTGTAAAATCTTTGTTGCCCTTTTGATAATTCGGGGCGCCTCCTGTAATTAGTGCTAATTCCCTTTCTTTTGTAATGTTCGGTTTCTCGACGCGTTGAGCTCGCAAAGTGCGAAATTAAAAGGCTCACTGTCTTTTTTTTTTACCAATCTTTGGGCTCCAATTTGCCATTTTTTGCTCCAAACTCGCCCTAGAATTTTCTTTACTCTCGTACTTGACCTATATTGGTTCCAAAACACTAACAAACACCATAAAACATTCAAAATAAGTGTGAACCATAACTCAACGATAAAACAAAGGGATTAAGTAATTAAATTACTAAAATCATGAACTCAATCCTAACAAATATAATCAAATAATACTAGAAATATGCACAATTAGGCTCACATCACATGGCACAATCTGCGCTTGTACCGGTCCCGCCCACTGCTACGATTCAGCTCACACAGCCTGAATCGGCCCCGGCTCTCACTGACCAGCCGGAACCGGCCCAGGGCAAGCGCGTTGAACTCGTCGAAACCGCTGCTACCACCCGACCTCGAGGCCGGTCGAGGGGGCGGTCTACACGGCCAACGGTTCGGACGCACACCATGGCTACTCGGAGTCGTTCTGAGGCTCCCCTTTTAGCTCTCTATGCTTAGGTTTGCCCTACTGAACCTACTTGTTATACACAGACAGTAAAACATGGTGAGTGGTGCAAGGTAATGGATGAAGAGTTTAATGCACTTCTTCATAATGAAACTTAATTGGTGTCGCGTTCCATCAGAGTCAGCTATGTATTTTATTAGGTGCAAATGGGTTTTTTCGCACAAAAAGAAAAGCTGATGGATCAATTGAACGATACAAAGCAAGGTTAGTAGCCAAAAGATTTAATCAAGTACCTGGACAGGATTTTTTTGACACATTCAGCCCAATAGTCAAACCCACAATTGATAGGTTACTTCTATCTCTAGCCATATCCTCTAGTTGGTTTGTTAAACAGCTTGATATGCACAATGCCTTTTTGAATGGAAAATTATATGAAATTGTTTATATGAAGCAACCACCTGGATATATTGATAAACAGTTTCCTAATCATGTTTGCCTGTTAAAACGCTCTCTATATGGATTAAATCAAGCTCCTAGAGCTTGGTTTAATCGCTTGCATGCGTTTCTGATGTCAGCAGGGTTTAAAGCTTTAAAAACAAATGTATCTTTATTTTACTACTCGCAAGATTCAGGCTTCATTTATGTTCTAAGTGTATGTTTATGATATTCTTGTAATGGGCAATGATTAGAATCTTTTTACTACTTTACTAGCAGAATTGTCATCTGATTCAAGATTAGGGATCTTGGTGAACCTGGTTTTTTTCTTGGGATTGAAACTGTTAAGTGTGATGATGAAATTTTGTTTTCTCAACAAAGATACATGACACATATTTTAAAACGTGCTAGCATGACAGACTGTAAATCTTTAGCCACCCCTATATCTGTTTCGAAATCCAATGCATTTAACGCAGACTTATATGATGATGATACACAATATAGGAGTTTGGCTGGAGCTTTACAGTATCTTTCGGTTACTCATCCAGATCTGTCCTTTGCGGTCAACCAACTCTGTCAACACATGCATGCTCCTACGATCTCTCATTGAGAGCAATTGAAACGTGTACTGGGGTATGTAAATGGAACTATTACTTATGGTCTGCGAATAAAGAAGTCAGTGTCTAGAAAATTACTCCCTCCGTCCTATTTTATGTGTCTGGTTCAGTTAACAAGGCTTGACTGAAGTTATTTTTAATCCAATTTTTTATAATATTAAGTTTAGTATTTAGTATACAAAATTTATATATTTAGAAACTACACTAAAAGTACTATTAAGCACAAAAAATCAAATTTAAAAATATGTAAAAAATATTAAAGAAAATAAACAAAGAAGAAAGAGTTGGTTTGACAAATGAATAGAAAGTATGACAGATAAAATGGGACAGAGGGAGTACATGCTTTTTTGGATTCTGATTGGGCTGGCTGTTCTGAGGATTGTAAGTCAACTAGTGATTATGCTGTTTTTTCTTGGTTCCAATCTTATATCATGAGTATGTAAGAAACAAAGAACTGTTGCTAGATCATCTACTGAGGCTGAATATAAAGCTCTAGCATATGTCTGTGTTAAGGTAATTTGGATTCTCTCTCTGCTGCGTGAAATTGGCGTAACCGGTGTATTACTCCCAAGCTGTGGTGTGATAATCTTGGTGCTACATACATGTGTGCAAATCCTATTTTTCATGCTCGGACTAAGCATGACAAATTGATTCATCAATTTATTAGAGACATAGTTGCAAATGGAGATATACAGGTTAATCTTATTTCAACTAAGGATCAACTAGCAAATATCTTTACTAAAGCTCTACCTGGTCATAGATTTTATGTTCTTAGAGACAAGCTACAAGTCACTATTATACATTGTTTGAGGGAGAGTATTAAGACTATATATTTGAGTCAGCTTATGATTCCCTATCACAGTCTCCCTAAGACTCTCTTTTTGTAATTCTATCGGTTCTCATCCTAGTAACCACAAACTTTCAAGTTTCAACTCCTCATGAAAGTTATCTATTAGCCTTCTTAATTAATTTGAATGGGCTAATTATGAACAACCTAAGTTGGTTCACTTCACCCAAAGCGTACATTTGGGTAACAACGGTCGGTTAACTTTTCTTCCAGTAAATCAAAGGAGGTTTATAACTTTTTAGTTGAAGCAGACATGCAGTCTCGTTAGTTGAAATTGCAAGCCTCCCAAAGCATACAGAAAACTTCAACAACCATAAAATGGAAAACCTGTATACTCAATCATATTTACTTAACAGTAGTTGAATATCAGTTTTGAGTGAACATATAGAAAGCAACCAAAACCTCTTATTGAACCTTTATCTTGTTAAATCTGTACAAAAGGGACTCTAATGAATAAGCTTTCTCACTTTGCCTCACTGCCTGAGATGCCTCATGCAACCTTTGAATTCCCCGACCCAATCTGGCAATTGAAGGAGCTGCAGGAAATGATTCAACAGCACACTCGATTCCATCTCCATACACAAGTAAGCCCGTGCAGGTAGCGATACTGCACCCAAATGTTGCCCATGGCAAATATCCAATTCGTCGGATGTGTCGTTTCCTCATAATTTCATAGAATGCGCTTCTCATAGCTGATAAACTGGTTTTCTCGGCTGAGGCTATAATGCTATGAGCCACAGCGCGAATTTTCTCAGTCGAAGCAGCTGCCTTGAGAACGGATGATGATTTCAGACCGGAACTTGCCATTCCCGGGGACTTGCCGAGCAGAATAGCTGCAGCCTTTTGGGTCTGAGTCATCATGAGTTTTAAGGAGGCGGGGAGTTTAAAGGTAACTACCTTCATAATCGTGGATAATGGAACGACTTTGGAGAGGGATGAAGCGCCTATCGCTGCTGTTGCACCTGCCCCGACTGCTACGACTGGTTTGCCGGATAATAAGCTTTTTCTGTCGGTGTTTGAAGTTTCGCCACTATCCCGGTTGGTGACAAGATGTTCGACGATATCTTTAATATCCATAGGAATACGGGTATTCCAGTGTTTCCTTATCCCAGCCAAACTACTTGCATCTACTACTGCGACAATCGACTTGAACTTCTTTGTCTGGCTTCGGAGAGCCTGGGCAACAAGTGCGTGTGACTTCTCGTCAATAGAAAGCTCAGAAAACCCATCATTTGCATTCCCGATTTTGCTAATAGGAAGCCGGCCAGCATTATTCAAGGCAATTCTCAACACCTCAACTGCAATTCGGAATATATAAACTTCGGAAAGGAGTTCCGCATTGACCATTTCTCCTCTACTTACACCATTCAACAGTTTCTGAGAAGAAGCTAGAGCTCTTCCTATTGATGGAATATCGACAAAAATGTCGTGCAAATCAGCTAGTAAAGGATACACGGATTGTGCAAACTGTGGGGCTTCATATTGTATCTGTGGATGAATATTCTCGGACTCGTTTGCAACCGAAGTCAAATTAACCAAATGTGATGACAATAGCTTAACCATCCGAGTCTGGATATCATTTGTAAGAAAAAATCCCTGCCAATTCACTGGCATTATAATTTGCGGTGTCCTTTGTGGAAACATATTATTAAAAGGCTTCAAACCAAGAACTCCAAACCCATTGTGATACCCTTCGTTTCCCACTGAAGAACACTCATTTTCCTCATTGCATTTCACAAGAGGAGAATCAAGTAACAAAAGAGTAGAACCAACGTCTTCTGCTGCTTTCTTTGCTGCCAAGAAATATCCATCAAAACCAACACCGAAAATCTCTCTCAATACCAAATTCCCTGCCACATTCTCATACTTCTCCTTATTAATCTTGTGCATAAAGCACCTCTTCAGCACCTCAATTGCCGAAGTTGGAACTGCATTCTCCTCACAATCCTCATCATTCTCACCAGCAAATATAAACTTCATAAAACCCTTATCATTTTCACTTCCACTTTCATCCCTATGGGGCTCATTTGTCATATTATCCACTTGGACCACCACAGCATCCGGCCTAATTTCCCTAATGAGACACTGGGCATCCATAGCTGACTGCTCGGATAAGTTCTGAACACACACTACATATATAACAGCATCCGATTCTGGCTCGGGAATCGCATAAACAAACTGTTTTGTGCAATCAGGTATTGATAATTTCCTAACCAACCCTTCCGAAATCCTCAAGTCATCATGTTTGAATATTGAGAAAGGCCATAAGTTTTGCACAAAGCTCACAATCCTCAATCCCATCACATATAACTTCAACCCTTCAAATCAAGAACATGAGTCAGACATAATATGATCATAATTGTTTCCAAAAAGACTTGAATGAACTTCAGAAATTTCTCAAGCTATGGAAACTTATAAAACCCTATTGCTACACACCCAACCAGCAATCATTAGCAACTTCCCTACATGAACTTTATCCAACAATTTCAGTTAAAGTTGCGAGATGGGAAGGTCAATACATGTGTGATTATCAACCTTAAAAAGCTACCAAACTGAATCCTTTGACCTGGATTATCAATCACCATATCAATTGACAATAAAAGTATAAAACAGAACAAGGATCAAAAAGGAATTCTGAATTTAAGCTGTATCATGAACTTCGTAAAGTTATCAACTTGCTACAAGTCCCACACTAAACAAAGATGAAAATAAAGGATTACGAAATACAAATTTCTATTGGAATTCATGAAGACACATATGACAATGAAGGATTAGAGATTTCTATTTCAATAATTAATCAATTAAACAAAAAAATAAATAAATAAATAAAACTCAAATTCGAATAATATACACATCAATACTGTTGAATTTGGAAGATGGAATGGTCTGGCGGGTGGAGAATAACACCACCCGCCAGTTAGGCGGAAGCAACGTGAAGAATCAAGGACTAGGAAATGTGTATAAAACTGAAACTATTGGGATTCTCTGTTTCTAATACAGAAACACAGTACATATATATACACAAATACATAACTGTAAATAACTACTCATAACTTACAAGTTACACCTATTCATAAACAGACACAACCCTATAGATAAACCTATCTATTTAGTTTTCAACACTCCCCTTAAGCTGGAACATCTAGAAGTTCCAAGCTTGGATTAAAACATACACTCTACATTTCAAATGAAGATTAAAAGCAACTAGAGAATAACAGTGCTAGATGGCTTCGGAGGGACAATGCTATACACAATCCTTGGGAAAGAAGGCACCAGGGGCGATTAACACAAACACCCTCACAGCAACATAAGCACTCCCTTGAGAAGCCGACGTCCGCGGTAGCTTACTCTAGATGGCTCACACTCCGGGCTCTTCTCGGCACCAGGTAGCCCTTTTCCCCTTTGGATGGCTTCACTCCAGACCTTATCAAGTACCAAGTAGCCCTTTTCTAGGTTGCCCCCTCCGCTAGACCGGCACCGGATGGGTGGACGGCTTCACTCTAGATAGCTTTCACTCCAAACTCTACTCGGTTTCCTTTGAACCTTATCAAGCAGCGGGTAGCCCTCTTCCAGGTAGCCCTTTCCCACCACATTCCAGCCTCTCAACAAGAGCACCAAAGTAATGACAAATACACCCAAAGAGTGAAATATGAATACCGAGAGCACCACATGATTGTTGTTTATACCCTTTATAAGGATAAGTGATAACAAGAGAGGCTTCCGAAAATAAACAAAAGGTACCAAACTTGAAAACCCTAGGGAATAAATATGGTATACCGAAAATAAAGAAATAACTAGGTTATACCAAAAGCACCCCGGAAAGAAGTTTGGCAACAAACCCATAAGCCTTCAAACTTCACCAAAAGGTCCAAAGGGGAAAACAACAATCTGAAACACTTTTACTGGAAAAATACACCACAGCAAGACCAACGCAGATGGAACTCGGATTACTGACGGAGATTTCTGGAGATTTTCGCCGGAAAATGTAAGGAAAAAGCCCTAGGAAAGTGGCTCTGATACCATGTTGAATTTGGAAGATGGAATGGTCTGGCGGGTGGAGAATAACATCACCCGCAAGTTAGGTGGAAGCAATGTGAAGAATCAAGGACTAGGAAATGTGTATAAAACTGAAATTATATTGGGATTCTCTGTTTCTAATACAGAAACACAGTACATATATATACACAAATACATAACTGTAAATAACTACTCATAACTTACACCTATTCATAAACAGACACAACCCTATAGATAAACCTATCTATTTAGCTTTCAACAAATACATTATACAGGAAAAAACAATAAATGGAAATATACTGATATACACATTATACAAATCATTATATCAAGAAAACTAGAAAATGATATACAAAATCAGAAAAAATAAATAAATAAATAAAAAATATCTTCTCTAAATCAGAAAAATCAGCGAAAAAATCCATCTCTTAAATTCACGGACTCACCTGTGTGGCTGCATCCAGTCAATCCAGATTTGCAAAGGTTTCCAGGCTTCCAGTGGTCTCCTCAGTCTCACCGGTGGTCCATGGTCATATAGTATAGCAAAGACACCAGCTGCCAGTGATCTGCACTCTGCCGTCTGAAAAGAAGCTAAGGTGCAACCTAATTGCAATAGATGGAATGTTGCCCAAGTCATTAATTGCTAATTTGCCATCACAGATGCAGACTAATTATACAGACATGTGGAATGCCCAAAAGTCCAAAACTCATCCTTCTCTCCACTACTACACAAATAAATTATGTTCAACTATTCACATACAACCATGTCATACCTTATCAAACTTCTACAGCCAAAACAAGAAATAACTACAAAGCCTACAGGCTACTTCCTCACAAGATCTAATTCAGCAAGTACAGAGAGACATAACAAAAGCTCCAAATGTCATTAATACGAAAGAGATATTCTGAAATATAAAATTATCAATTAACATATCATTACTAATTTATGGTATGATATACTTTCAAAATATTCCAAACTCAATTCTTTAAGACTAACAACAATATAAAATCAACTAATTTCAATTTTCAAAAACAGTATCAACCAGCACCAGCCATCAAGAAGATGAGAACAGTAATACAGTATCAAACAACATAAACTACATTCAACCAGCACCAGCCATTCAACATTTCAGCCAATCAGGCAATCATCAATATCCTTTAAAAGAACAAGAACAATAAATTAATTAATTAATTAATAATTACTTATTTACTTAATTAAAGGAACAACTTTTGTTTGAACGAGGTTTATTGAATTATTGACTTATTTTCAGGGGCAAAGCCATGAATAAAGGTGAGTAGGGGCGAAGTTGAAACAATTAAAAAATGTCTATGACAAAATATCAAACACTAATAGAAGGGTTCAAAAACAAAATACATTATAAATTACAATAAACAATTCACAATTCATTAATTAGACTACACACAACTTTTGAGCAACAAATGACCAGAGGAAGTAAATTGCCAGTATAGTTATACAATCATATACATATGTAGTCCATCTTAATTTATACTCCGGAATATCAAAATAAACCTAACTTCATACAGCAATCTGCATGTACAACCAGCAAAAAAGGAACACTAATTAGCTCTCTCACATCATTACCAACACCTATATCTCAATAAAAAGAACAGACTACTTTCTACAGCTGCACTACTTCCCTATCAACTAAAGAGTCAAGTCTGGGGTTTCCCTGCCACGATGGCAAGGAGGTAAACATGTACACACAAGGTCACGAGTTCGAATCCTAGCCTTCATGGTTTGAGCCGATCGGCTATAGGCAACCTAGATTGGTTTACCTCCTTGTGGTCCTTTGGCAGCTAAGGTCACAAGGTGGGGTTTACCCAGTAGCCACACTTGAGTAGTGGCTGGGGGTTTCGTCGTCACCCAAAAAAAAATAAGTCAAGTCCATATCTAAAAGAAAATGCATCATCAAACAATGGTTAAAGATTACCATACAAAGGGGGAAGAAGAACCAGAGAAGATTTAGCTAGGTCCATATTCTAGTCTCATAACAAAATTCTGTCAGATGTGCTGTCAATGGCAAAGCAATATCCTTGAAATTCTTAGAGGGAGAAAAATTCCCTGAATTTGAACTCACGATCATCAAGAATCAATTTTTAACCAAGAATTCAAATACCCAAACACAAATGAAGAAGAGAAATCAGAAATGCAGAGAGTCACAAATTAATGTTGACAAATCTAATAAGAAAATTAGATACAATATTTAGGGATTTATAGAATTAGGAATTTAGGGAAAGGATTTGATCATCGAACCTGAGGAGTTTCTGCTTCACAACTGACGATTCACGAGTAGACGACGGTCGCCGGAGCTACTGACTGAAATCTTGAGGCGGCGGAGCTGCTGGCTCATTACGGCTGCGGTCTGCGGAGGCGCGGAGCTGCGGGCTATAGCGCACAGGTAGTAAGTAAGGCAGGCTGCTTCTGCCCCGTGAAGAGTGGAGACTGAAGTTTGCGATTGCAGAAGGCTGAAGCAAGTTGTGATGAAGAACAGAACAGGGAGGGCTCTGACCTCTGGACTTGAACTCATACAGCGTACGAGGCGCAAATTCTAAAAAGAATTCTATTACTCGAACTCCAAACTCCAAAACGAATAGAAAAGAAAAAAAAAAAATTAATAGAGAGAAAGTAAAAATAGGAAAAATAATGAAAAGGTCAAGATTTGTCACAGATATGTTTTATACGGAGTAGCATTTTAAAATAAATTAAACAATAATTTATTTTAAACTTTTACAGGCTGTTTGGTTGAGTGTAGTTTCCTTGTAATTGAATTGCAATTTGTTGAAGCCTCAAATTACCGTGTTTGGTTGGAAAGAATTACAATTCCACCGAATTGCAATTTATTTTGTTGAATTGCAATTCATACCCTCCCCTATATGAATTGCAGTTCAATGGGGAAAGGAAAGGGAAAAGGGAGGAAAATGACTTGTGTTTACCCTTTATTATTATTAGCATTAGGGAAAAGGGTCAAATAGGCCCTCGAACTTTAACTTAAAAGTCAATTAGGCCTCTAAACTTTTTAAAGGTGCAATTACACTCCTCAACAATTCATTTAGGTGCAATGAAGCCCTAAAACAAATTAATGACCTGCTATCACAGGTTATTAGGGTTCAAGCCACCTTCCGGCGGATTTTCCGGCAAAAAAAAAAAAAAAAAAGTGACCGGCAAAATTTTCGACAAATTCTGGGTCGGTTGCTTGTCACTTTTTTTGCTGGAAAATTTCCCGGAAGGTGGCCTGAACCCTAATGACCTGTGATAGCAGGTCATTAACTTGTTTTTGGGCTTCATTGCACCTAAATGAATTGTTGATGGGTGTAATTGCACCTTTAAAAAGTTTAGGAACCTAATTGACTTTTAAGCTAAAGTTCGAGGGCCTATTTGACCATTTTCCCTTAGCATTATTATTACACAAGGACATTTTAGTCTTCACACCACTCCTTCCTTTCTCATTCCCAATAATTCTATTCATCCCTACCAAACAATGTAATTAAAATTCCTACTTTATTCTCACCTTATTCTTTTCCACCGAATTACAATTCTTTTCCCCCCTAATACCTTCCTTCCAACCAAACACCATGTTTGGTACATTTGGTTCACGGAATGTTAGATTATCTCAAGGAATGTTAGATTGTTGGGAATGCTAGATTATTGTGTTTAGTTTAAAACTAAAGTATGTAAATAAGTCAATAGTAATGAGATAAATTGATTAAAATGTCAAAAATCCAAGATTGGTAATAAGATAGATAAGGGAATGTGAGATTACCTTAGAAATTAAGGGTATCTCATATTCTTTTCCAATAGCTAAAAACTATATCTGAAGGTTATATGACATTCCCTGCGAATATTATATAACCTGAACCAAACATGGGAATCTTATATTTCCAGGCCCTTTGGTGAGCTTTCTCTATTGCACTCCTCCCCTTGTGGTTCCCGTGCGCGGAGGCATGCCATTCGAGTGGCTTCTGCTTGTCATTGGGGGTTGAGCCTGGTTTTTCGTCGCGGTCGTTCGACTGTTGGATTGTCTTGTTCGAGTCGTGTGTTCTCTCGAGCGATCTGTCCCTGTTGTTTGCTCTGCCCAGATGATATCGACGAGGGTAGTCCAATGGGGACTCACTTCTTAATATGAAATCTCGTTGCACGACTTCCAGGAAGTGCTTAGCGGCCTCCACTACGGCAGGAAGAAGTTCAACCGGTTGGGTCTGTGGGACGCCAGTGACCGGTGAGCGTGTGCTTGGATGAATCTCCCTCTCATCTCTAGGATTTTTCAGATTGTCATCTTTCCTTGGGAGCACTAACCAACCGGGATGTACGCGAGAGGTAGGCCGATTGAGGGTTTCTTGCAGATCATAACCGACCGGGCGGTACGCGAGAGGTAACACTCCAAGTCTAGCGCTCTCGGGTCTCTACTCAAAACCTGTAGAACAAGGAAAACATAACATGGGGATGACACCCCGTCAGCGAACATTGCTGGTAACCCATCAATACGCGTTAAATAGCATATATAGATAAGTATAAGTCAAAACCATTTTCGAAACAGAATACAGTATATATCATTTCAAAATCCATCGAGACAAGTCAACTTCAAAGACCCATATACACTCTCAAAAGGAAAAGGAAGTCAACATCCTTACGACAACAACAAGACAAGAATCATGAAAGACAATACAACTCGAGATGCATTCTACTGATCACAAAGTAGAATACATCAAGACATGCTCATTAGCAAAGAATACACATTCACACATTGGCAACTACATGCCACAATGACAACTACATGTCACAAATTTCACAGTTCCAACCTTATGCCCTGTTCCAACCTTATGGCTACCCCCGACCTTATTTCAGTTCCAACCATTACCTCCTAGTGCCACCCTGTACTTCTAAGTCCAACCTTATACCGCCAGGGACCGTCGCCCACTCCAACAAACCACGTACATATTAGTACACGAGGGTACTATTCATTTCATTCACACAACCACCTACATGTGAGCAAAGCTCAAGTAACAACCACACACATTAAATCATAGTCACACAAGTCATCATCATTACCAAGAAGACTAAGGTTCCACAATAGCCTTAATCAAGTATCAATCAAAGGGTACAACGATTACATACGTTCATATCATGGGAATCAATCAATGGATCACAACAAAGATATGAAACCATACTCAATCAACAAAGGATCACAATCCGACACAAAACGATGGTCAACACAAGTTGCAAATCTCAAAAGGAAAGGACAAACCGCACACACTAGCATTTCAACATCAAACTAGCATGCTTATCAAACGGGTAAACCAAAAGTAGTTCCATAGAACATTCAGGACTCATCACTAGTCCAACGAATCCCAAAGTTGGACCCTTAGCACGATTCAAGACACCAAAGCCTACATGAATTCCTATCATACCGTTCTAGACATACAAAACATCAAGAAGACTCACAAATAGCCCAACAAAACAACATCGGGAGGTCAAAACATCAATACCGAGTCAAAAGAATCACGGGGAACAAATCCCCGCCACAATCCACAACGTTCCCCGCGGGTGGGGCCACGGGTAGACAACCACCCGCGGGTACAGAACCCACAAGCCTTGTTCCCCGCGGGTGGGGCGGCGGGTAGGCCTCTGCCCGCCGTTCCGCCCGCGGGTACACCCTGTACTCCAAAATAATCCCTTCGGGGATTTTCAACAACAAGTCCAAAACACCCAAAATCTCACACAAAACAACAATATGACTTGAACCAAAGAAATAGCCAAGCAATGGCATACAAGAACCCTAAGAACAAGCTCTAAACATGCATTACCACAAGACAATGCATCAAATCTCACATTTCAACACAAGAATCACAAGTAGAAGCCAAGAAATCATCATATAAGTAAGAAAATAGGTTTTGTAAAGCATGAGTTACCTCTTATAGACCAAGAACACCTTCTTCAACCTCAAAGCAAGACCAAAGCTCCTCTAAATCAACCTTGAACTTCACCCACCACTAGATCTTCTACAAACTCCCAAAACCCACAAGGTAGAAGAAAGATTTAGAGAAAAGATGGAGGAATATTGTAAGGAAAAGGTAGGGAAGGATAGATCTTATCATTCCTAGCCTTGTAGTGTTGGAAAATTGGAATCTTGGTGGAAGACTATGCAAAGCTTGGAAGTTCCCTTTTTTACTTGGAGAGAAAGCTAGGATTCTTTTAGAGAGGTTGGAGAGTTTTTAGAACTTTGGCTAGCATAGAATGAAGACAAGAGGTCTTGCTAGGGAAACATGAGCACCTCTCACTAGTGAAAAGTCCAAGTTACCCTTACTAAGGTTTGGATGAATAAGGGATTGAGGTACAACACACAAGGCACAAGGTACACCAAGAAGACTAGTCAATTTCTAGTCCTTCGACTATGAAATTTCAGGATTTTAAGAAGAAGTTACCAAGGAAGGTTAGGATTAATTCCTTAATTAATCCCAATTAGCGTTTAGATTTACGGGGTGTCACATCCTCTCCCCCTAACAAGAAGCTTCGTCCCCGAAGCTTGGGCACGACGGGTTACCAAAAGGAATAGCAATGAACAAAGGTGTGACAAGAGAAAGCAATGAACAAAGGTGTGACAAGAGAAAGCAATGAACAAAGGTGCCCACCAACTAAACAAAGCTAAAGAAATCAAGGTTTCAATTTACGGTGATAAGATTGATAGGCTTAGAAATAGGCTGAGGGTTCACAAAGGTAAGTCAAGAAAGGAAGATAAGGTGATAAACAGAAGATTTACCGGAAGGGAAGACTAATTGTACCTTAAACTTAACTCCCTGCTTATTACTAACCACCGATCTACCCAGATCTAGACGCCTTAGCTAAGGCACAACCTACAACAGAAAGTGGCACCACAAGAGCTCTAAGCTAGATTACCCAGAAACGAAGAACGGGGATTGCGTCTTCAACTAATCACCGTTGACTTCTCCAAACAAAGGAAGCAAGGTACTCACACTGCACAACTTGATCTCGACAACCGCTTGAACTGGATCGGTCACTTCCAAACAAAGGCCACCACTGCCAGCTCCAAAACACGAGCGGGATGTCCTACTCCCTAGCTGTTGGGCTAACTTGATGCAGGCTGCCAACTTAACACTTGCATTAACACACTGCTCACAACTCTCTACAAAACAGCGCTTGAAAACTTCAAAACTTTCGGTCCGGATGAAATGTAACACCCCGTGTTACGGCCTTTAATCCCGAATTAATTATCTAATTAATTCCGTTAATAATAATTAAAAATGATTTAATTTGGTTAGGAGTCCCTTTAATTAATTAATGTGGTCCACCATGGATCATGGACCCTTGCCTAAACTAGAGTCTTAAGTCTATTAAGAATAAAGAGAGTAAACCCTTTACTAGTCAGATTCTAATTAGGAATCCTGGACCTATATATCTATTAGTAAAAAATAAATTAGGCCTTTACCATTCAGATTATGATTAGGATTCCTGATTCTATAAATAGGGGATTAGAAAGCAATTAGAACCCATACCACCCATAGTTATATTACACGAAAATATTTCCGGGAGATTCCCCACCACCAAGCCTAGCGAGATC